TTTTTTTTTTTTCAAAAGTATTCCTTTCAGAGCCCTGCGATTGGATATTTGCTCTTGGCTCTTGCCTTTCCGGACTGCCACCGTCTCTTTTATGAGGAGCGGAAGATGAAAACATTTCTGGGATTCCGCTGTAATATCGTGTAGTTTGACAGTGTTGTTTTCAGGGCCAAAAAATGACAGGCAGAGAGCAGTTGTGAAAGCATTCAAGCATGCCTGGAATGGATACAAAATGTATGCTTGGGGGCACGATCATCTGAAAGCACTTTCAAAGTCGCATCACGACTGGCTTGGTCTCGGTCTGACAATCGTCGATTCACTGTCAACTGCGATCATTATGGGCCTTGATGACGGTACTTTTTTTTGCCTTTTTCTATTCCCCTCCATCATAACAGCTTGATTTGGCATCTTTCTTGTCTGCTTGCAATCGCCCCGTACTTTTTTGGGTTGTTTTGCTCAGTTCCAGACGGAGTGCCTTTTTTGAGGGTATAAGAAACTGATTTCACAATTTTCTCATTGTCGAGGGATGCTCTCGAAAAATCAATGATTTTTTTTTGAGATGAGGAATCTTCGTAATTCCAATGGGCAGGCTGTTCTGTTTCTTATTTCCAAGAGTCGAAACTCACTTTTTTTATCGTGTAAATAAGTTGGTTGCAAAAATGACAGGAAACAAAAACAAAAGAGATCTGGAATTTGACCCTTCTCTGCATTCCAGTAAAAATCAGACTTTCCACATTTTACAGTTTAGAAGACAAATGCGCAAGGACTGGCCCCAGTAGAGCACTTCGTCAGTAATAGCCTTTCATTCCAAGACATTTGATGGTCACCGCTTTTGATGATAATTTTAAAAAGACAATATAACAGCTCTCTGGTATGCAAGACGCATCTATATGGCTTCTTGCAGAGTTTGAGGAGGGCCGTAATTGGGTGGCCAATTCACTGTCGTTCCAACAGAATCGTTTTGTGAGTTTCTTCGAAACGACGATACGCGTGCTTGGCGGTTTACTGAGTGCGTTTCATTTGAGTGGTGATCCGATGTTTGTTGAACGTGCGCGAGATCTGGGCAATCGTCTTTCGGTGGCTTACGATTCATCATCGCCAATTCCATACAGTGACGTGAATCTGCTAAATCGGTTTGTTTTATTGTACTTTTAACAAAAAAGCGCTGTCGAGCACTAGTTGCGAGTGTTTCGAACATTTTTGGGTCCCATTATAATGCCGGATATGAAAATCTGTAGCAGCAGCGGGCAGAATAGGATACATCTGGCATTTCTTCCTGGAAGGATGAAAGGCAGGGACACATATTGTGGATGGTATCAGCGAAGAACTTACAAAGACTGAAAAGATTTGAGCTGCTGCTGGGCTATATAGAGTACTTACGAGTGCCACAGGTACCGATTCATAATCTCTAATTGCTAATTGTTCAACACAGGAGTCGATAGCGTGATGGTTTACGTGGCATGATTGGACGGTTTAACAGAAAAGGAAGATGAGTTCAGTTCCGTACCGGATCGCAACCTTTGCAAGAGGGACTTCGTTTGCAATCATTATTACCAGTAATTGGTCGTACTTCTTGTATGGTTTCCTTGGAGTGATTGTCAGTTGCGCTACGATAAGATGGCAGCTGATCAAAGTCACCCGCTCAAGCAAGGACAGCTCTTCCTATGTGGAAAAGTTGCCAACTTATGAGGCGGCATAGCATTCAGCACCACAATAGTGTTTGTTGTTCCCAAAATGACAAATCTTCCGCCAGGTGCTACAGATAAATGCACTGTAGTAGTGCTTTAGACATTCGGAAACACTTTCTTTTATAATAACCAATTATGCGGTCTCCGGTGTGATACCACTGTGCAGAGTAGCAGAGCGGGGAGGGAAATAAAAGGCATACGGATCAGGGCAAAAGGACTTGGCATTGTTGCACTTACTATTTGGATGCATTTCCGGTAACCCCGTATCAGTAGTACACACGCTGTTGGTTGCCCTGAATG